GGAGGTTCCTCTCAGAGGCTGGAGTGAGTTTGCTGCTCCATCAAAGAACACCGAGGTGATGCCAGAACTCACAACCACACCAAAGGAAGACATGGGACAGCGTTTAGGTGCACTAAAGCTGTCCCATGGGTGCAGCTCAGGGCTTGGTGGAGTCTGGTTGTGATTTCTGGTGTCGCTGTTCACCGCAGGGCAGAGCGCAGCCGGGAGAATCAAAGCTGTTGATTGGTCTTTAAAAATCCCAAAGTCTGGCAGAAAAACATGCAGGCTTCCTCCTGAGAGCAGCAGGTGAGTCCAGCTCCTACGTCAACGTGCAGTTTGATGCTTTTGTTCTAGAAACGAGGAGTGACGTTTGTCTTTGTGTCTGCAGGAGCTTCATAGCAGAGATGCAGCTTTTTGTGAAGCAGCTCGGCAGAAGTAAGACTCCAGAACATTTCCTGTTAAATTACAGAAACTGTTAAATGTGATCAGTTTGAAACACCAGCTGCTTTCTGTCGTTCGTGTGAGTCAAACGTCGCTGGGTTTGCTCTGCAGGGATCACGGCTCGAGAGCACGGCTCCAACAAGAAGCTGGCGGCTCAATCGTGCGCTCTGTCTCTGGTCCGACAGCTGTATCACCTGGGGGTCATCGAGGCGTACTCCGGGGTCACCAAGAAGAAGGAGGGAGAAACTGTACGTTTAAAGACAGGCAGAGACTGAACGACACATCGCGCAGCTCGTTTTTAAAACAGGATTTTGTTCTTTTTGCACAGCTGGAGGCGTTTGAGGTCAACGTGTCCCCAGACCTGCAGCAGCAGCTGGCCTGTGTGGTCCAGGAGCTCGGAGTCAGCGTCCCCCCACCGGTGAGTCGCTGTTCAGTGTCTGTCAATCGAACCCGCTCTTCAAAGGCAACACGTAGTAGATAAAGCAGTGTGGTGTGACGAAGCTGTCGTGCTGATGTTCGTGCAGATGTGATGATGCTCTTCAAAGCAAACTCATCATGAGAATAAACGCAGCGTTTCCATTCGATTCAGTAACATGAAGGTTTTTATGCTCCAGCCTGCAGACCCCAACAGCCCGGTGTCTCTGGTTCAGGGGAAGCTGGCGTACTTCGAGCCGTCACAGAGGCAGACCGGAGCCGGCGTCGTCCCCTGGTCGCCTCCTCAGGTCAACTGGAACCCCTGGACCAGCAGCAACATCGACGAGGGGCCGCTGGCCTACGTGAGTCTCACGAACCCTGAAACCCTAAAGTAGGACCAGTTTGTGGCTCGTTGATCTTTATTAGCAGGTGTTCAGAAATCATGTTATTAATTCGAGTCCCACAGACGCTCGCTGTCTCACAGTCATCAGAGTCGTGCAGCTCTTCTGTAAAGACCCCGTTTTAACCCCTTCAGTGCCCTCCGGAGCAGATCAGCGGCGACCTGCACGACGAGCTGAAGTACCAGCTGGAGCACGACGAAAACCTGCAGAAGGTCGGTCTCCTTTACCTTTACGTCTGCG